ATCCACACCATCCTGGAAATCATGAAAGTGGTGTTGAGCTCCTGTTTAATCAAACACGTCATTTACAATTGCTTGCTAGAGCTATAGTTTTGCATTCCTATCCTTTAAGTATCGTGGAGCATCATGGCCTTAGGGAAGTTTTTACGAATTTGAACCCCAACGTGAATCATGTGTGTAGAAACACTATTTTGAAACATTGTATTGATGAGCATGATAAGTTTAAGTCTTTGTTGTTGCAATCTTTTTCGGGAATTGAAGGTAGAGTTAGCTTCACTTGTGACTTGTGGACAGCATGTACTAATCGAGGTTATCTTAATTTAACGGCACATTATGTTGATAAAAATTGGTGTCTTAGGTCTAAAATTCTGAATTTTAGATATTGTGGTCCTCCTCATACTGGTGTTGAGGTAGAAAAATTTGTGTTAAAACTTATTGGGGAGTGGAACCTTCAGGGTAAAGCTTTTGCAATGACTGTTGATAATGCTCGATCCATGGATGTTATGGTTAACCTTTTGAAGAAAGATTTAATGTTGACTTCTCCTCTTCCTTGTAATGGTAAATTTTTTCATATTCGATGTTCAGCTCATGTCTTGAACATTATTGTTCAAAGAGGTTTAAAAGAAGTTGATAGTAGTGTTCAAAAATTGCGTGAGGTTTGTAAATATGTTGATTCTTCAGATTCTAGACTCACTCAATTTGAGCATGCTCTTCATGAGGTTAACTGTGTGTTTAATGGAAAGTTACGTCTTGATGTTGTGACTCGTTGGAATGCCACATATACGATGATTCGAAAAGCTTTGGAAGCAAAGGAAGCCTTGAAATTGGTTATTGATAGGTTTATAGGTTATGAATTCAAACTTTCGAATGATGAATGGGATACCCTTACTAAAATATGTAATTTCCTAAAGCCATTTCATGAAATCACTGTGTTATTTTCTGGTTCAGAATATCCTACTGCAAATTTGTATTTTGCTAGTGTTTTAAAAATTGAGCACACAATAAGTAAAACCTATATAGATCCTAAACTTGCACCCATGGCAAAAGTTATGCTTGAAAAGTTTGAGGGCTATTGGGATGAATATAGTTTGATCCTATCAATTGCTATTGTTCTTGATCCTCGTTATAAGCTTGTTCGAGTGATGAAGATGTTAAAAGTGCTTTATGTTGATGAGGCATGTGTTGAAAAGGCGAAGGTGATTAAAGATGCTCTTTTGGAGTTGTATAACTTTTATTCTTCTTTGTCTTCCGGTTTTACATCAAGTACAAATGCTCCACCCTCCATCCCAGCTGTTATCGAAAATTCAAATAGTCACTTGGATGATGATATATTCAAGGTAATCAATTTCTGATTATTGTGGTTTACAAAATTAATAATTTTATGTTTTAATTTTATTATTTAATAAAAGCATTTTGTTTGAACTTTTCTAGTATGTTGATAATGATGATGATGAGGAGGATGACACATCAAATCGGCCATCGATGGAGATTGATTCTTATTTGTGTACTCCTCGACAACCAATTTATGAAGGGCAGAAGTACGATGTTCTTAGTATTGGGAATCTCAAAGTAGTGTGTACCCCATATTAGCTGTTATGGCTAGGGATGTTTTGGCCATTCCTATTACATCGGTAGCCTCAGAGTCTTCTTTTAGCATGGGTGGTCGTATTTTAAACAAGTATAGGAGTGCGCTTTTGCCTAAGAATGTTGAGGCGTTGGTGACCACACAAAATTGGTTACGTGGTTATGATTGTGATATTGAAGAAGACGTCCTTGAAATTGGTAAAGAAGTGATAGATGAAAGTTTTGCATCTAATTAAGAAGACATGGATGTTTTATTGTAGTGAACTAGTGATGCTTAATATATATTGTGTTGCTTCATTGCTAAAATGTTTTAATCTCATAGAACAAGTATTAATAGTTTTAGTCACATTACATATTGATATGTTGTTCCTTTTTTTATCTCGAGTTATTGGTTATTATTTATGTCCCGCTAAATATTCATCTTGACCTGCAACCGACTCACTTCGTAAATGATCTGCATCGACCCACACTGACCCACCCAATAACCACTCCTAGTAGTAAGTAGTTTGTAAACGGTTCGATTTATAAGGATTCGGTTCATAAACAGTTCGGTTTATAAATGGTTCGGTTTATAAACGGTCCGGTTTATAAACGGTTCGGTTTGTAAACGGTTTGGTTTGTAAACGGTTCGGTTTGTAACGGTTTTTATGCCAGTTTAAACGGTTTCGGGTTAGAAACGGTTCGGTTTATTTTCGGTTCGGTTTCCTTTCCAGTTCGGTTTAGATTTGGTTCGGTTCTAAAACGGTTTAACATTACTCGGATCGGTTCGGTTTCGGGTTTACTAAAATGCGGTTCGGGTCGGTTTTCGGTTTCAAAAAATCGGTTTTTAATCGGTTCGGTTCTCATTCGGATCGGTTTGAATCGGTTCGGTTTCACCGGTTCGGTTCGGTTTTTGACAGTGCTAAGTATGTGTAATTTTTTTATATTATTTTTTTTTTCAAAATAAACTCATATGCTATTATTGGACTAAATATGACAAATGATTAAAGGATTCATTTATATATGTGATTTATGCGTAAATCGGTAAATGTCTAGTAATTGGACTACATATACTATTGGGCTTGACAAAGCCCATTTATATGAATAGAGCCTATATGAATAGAGCCTAAAGATGAAGTGGATCAACCCATTTATATGAATAGAGCCTAAAGATGAAGTGGATCAACCCATTTATATGAATATGGCCTAAGGATGAAGTGGATCAAATATGGCTTAGTGGATCAACCCATTTATATGAATATGGCCTATAAGGATTAAGTGGATCAACCCATTTATATGGGGACAAATAAGGAAAAAAATGAAGTGGATCAACCCAGTTTGTAAAAACATTTTGACCAAATAGAAATTGGACCTAGTCAAGGCCCAGAACCAGGTTTTTTATACATGAAAAAATACAAACATGAGACAATCCAAATAAACAATAGCATATTCAAATAAAAGGGACTCAGCTCTCTATTATTCTACATTCAGTGACCACACGCAACGTTCGAAGCCATTATGACATTCCATGACTCGTTATTAGTAATACCATTGTTGTTATTGATTTCCCGAACAAGGTGTTCATCATCTGTTATCTGCATTGTAAAACAAATGGTACAATTAATTATGAAATGCATCAAAATGGGGGGGGGGGGGTACAGAAAAATACACATGTATGAAAAATTCACTTTAATTCCATGGACTACCAACGAATCCAAGAGCGAATTTGATTTCAGAACATCCAAGATCACTGTGGAACCTCGTTTTTTCACAACACAAACGCGCATATGCGACGCCATTGTTGTGTGGACCAACTACAAGCATAAAAAACATCTATTCAACATGACATATTGCCGCCAATAAAAACCCCCATATGAAAGCTGACAATCAAAACTCACATTGAAGACAATGACCAGTAAACAACAACACCGATCGTGGAGAAAGTCATTCATCAGCACCTCACCTCAACTGGGGATCTTAACTGTTTCATAGAGATTTGTCCCCCAAAGTTAACAATGACAGGCAGCACAATAACAAACATATAAGCAAACATGTTGATATTTAAAGGTTTTGATGATAAGGAACTTAAACTACAACAAACTCATTTAATAAAGGTTATTCAAGTGTTTGTTTAGTTTAGGTGAAATTGATCTTGGAGTTGAAAGAAGTAACTGAAACTAAGAAGACTTGAAGAAGTTCTTTATTCAAGAAGGTTATTCGAAACAGAAGAAGTGTTCCCTCACAGGAACTGAGTTCCCTAACAGGAACGTTCCTTTACAGGAACTTGAAGATGGCTGGCTAAGATCTTTGGAGGAACTTAGTAAGCGTGGAGCCCAAGTAAACCTACCAGTACAGGAGTGCGGCGCAACAATGATTTAGTTAAAGATTTTATCTTCTAGATTCATTGTTAAATATGTTAAGTAGGATATGCATGAAGTCTATTAGAAGCGTGACAAGTTAGCTTGGCAAATAAATTAAAATCGGAAAAGATAAAAGATAGAATTCGAAAAAGATTTTCTTTAAATGTTTATTTCTTAAAATCAGTTTGTTAAAAAGATATTATGCTTTTTAACTAAATCTTTCTATTTTATTTTTCGGAAAAGATTTTCTTCTAAATGATTTACATAAAAACCGTGTATAAAGATAAGTTAAGTTTAACTTATTTATCTTTAAGAAAACCTACTTGCTATACAAATAATGCTTGTATAAATAGTAGAGAAAAAAAGGAGTTTAGGTTTTTTGTGAGTTTCATGCGTGAAGAATTTACAGAGCTTTAATTGTGTAAGGTTGTCAAGCTTATCATCTTGTCATATTAGTTTCGGGTTTCATGCATAGCTTGCCGATCATATACTAGGTGTCTTTACTTGTAATAAGTTCGGGTTATTTGGGTGAGAGTGTTTTTGTTATCATTGCATACAGAGAGAGAGCTTTTGTTGAGAAGTTGAGAAGATCTGTGCTTAGGGAGTACGAGAGAAAGTCTGAGTGTGGGACTGAGACTGGGTAGAATAGAATCCTATTCTGTAGCAAGTTCGTTCAGGAACTTGTGAGTAGAGGTTTGATTATAATAGGTTGTAACTTGGTGTTTGCCCTATTATAGTGAAATTGTTTGTGTTCGAAATCCCTAAGGTAGGGTCGAGGTTTTACTTCTAGTTGGGCACTAGAAGGTTTCCTCGTAAAATCCTGTGTGCATTGCAAGTTCCTATTTTATTCTGTTTTATATTTGAAAAAGTAGTCACTAGGAACTCACCTACAATTCACCCCCCTTGTAGTGTTCGTCTCAACTAATAATTGGTATCAGAGCAAGGTTCTCACTTGCAAGAAGATAACTTTGCTGAGTAAGTTCCTGGATAGATGAATTACAAGGAGAAACTTGAAGAAGGGTAATCAAGCCAACGTCCACCTTGTTCAATGGTAAGTTCTATGCCTACTGGAAGAACAGGATGGAGATCTTCATCAAGGCGGAAAATTACCTGGTTTGGCGTGTTATTGAAACTGGTGATTTTGAAATAACTGCAACCAATGACAAACAAGAGGTAGTTTCTAAATCTATTTCTGATTATGACAAAGAAGATTATCAGAAACTTGAACTGAATGCTTTAGCAATAAAGTACTTACATTATGGACTTGGACCCCATGAACATAACCGTATCATGGGATGCAAGTCTTCCAAACAGATTTGGGATTTGCTACAGGTAACTCATGAAGGTACTAACGAGGTAAAATGTTCTAAAATAGATTTATTGATATCTAGGTATGAAAGGTTTGAAATGCAATCTAAAGAAACCATAGAAGAGATGTTTACCAGATTCAATGATATTATTAATGAACTGAACTCCCTTGGCAGGCATATTCCTATTGATGAACAGGCAAGAAAGATCCTAAGAAGTCTACCACAAGATGAACGTTGGAGATCCAAGGTTACTGCTATGCAGGAAGCTAAGGATTTCACCAAGTTTAATATGGAACAACTAGTTGGATCATTGATGACACATGAACTTCATCTGAGTTCCAATAATGAAAGTTCCAGAAGTAAAAGCCTTGCACTTAAGGCTCAAGATTCAGAAGAATCGGAAGTTGATGAGGAAGAGATGGCTATGCTAGTGAGGAAATTTAAAAAGATGATGAATAATAAGAAGTTCGAAAGGAACAAGAAGTTCACAAGTTCCAGAAACACAACGTGCTTCAGGTGTGGGTCAAAAGATCACTTCATTAAGGATTGCCCTGTACAGGATGGAGAGAAAGGAAAGACAAAAGGCAAAGAACAATCCAAAGAGTCAAAAGTCTATAAGCCTTACTTCACCAAGGACAATGTGAAGAAAGCCATGCTAGCTGCTTGGGGAGATACAGATTTAGAAGAAGAGGAGGACCAACCATTAGAAGAAACTGCTCATTTATGTTTAATGGAAAAAACTGATGAAGCTGCCAAACTAAAGGAGCTTGAGTCTGAGGTATGGTTCTCTTACAACCAATTAAAACATCTGTCTAAAGAGAATCTAATAAATACTGTTTTGGAAATTCAAGAAGATTTAAAGGAATTACATAGATCCAAACAGCAAAGTGATAAAGCTTTAGTTACTTACAAAGAGAACAGTGAATGGGTTGATAACATGAAGTTTGACATTCAATACAGGTTCTTTAGTCTGTTTGATGATAATAAAAATTTAGAAGAGACTATAGAGAATCTGAAACAAGATAACATACTCCTGAATGTGGAATTGTCTTTGTTAAAACTTAGTGTCGATACTCCTAACTCTGAAGTTCCTCCACCTACTGATTATCCGAATTTTGAAAAATTAAAACATGATTTGGAAGATTTAAAAACGGATAAGGCACGTCTTGAGGGGGAACTTGAGAGAGCTAGGAAAGGTAAGCAACCAATAGAGTATAGAGTTCCTGATTGGATCACTAAGGCTCAAACCAAGAATACTGAAGGTTTAGGTTTTAAAAACAAGTTCCAGAAAGAAAAGAAGTATGTAAACTTGCCTAGTAGCATGGTTTGTTATTTCTGTGGCAATACATGACATAAGCAGGTTAAGTGTCCTAAGAAAAAACAAAGCACACAGAAGAATGTCAAACATGTAGAACAAATCTGGATCAAGAAAAATGAATCAACTCCTGTTACACAGGAACCCAAGGAAACCTGGGTTCCTGACTCTAACGTTTAATTCTTCTTGCAGGTTCCAGTGAGGGGGAACAACACTAGGTACCTCGACAGTGGTTGTTCTAAGCACATGACTGGAGATAAATCTAGATTTCTCTCACTGGATGCTTACTATGGTGGAACAGTGACCTTTGGTGATAATATGAAAGGTGATATAATTGCTATTGGAAAGATAGGAAGGTCACGTTCCCATGCCATTGATAATGTATTTTTAGTCGAGGGCCTCAAACACAATTTGTTAAGTATTTCACAGTTTTGTGACAAAGTTAATTCTGTTAGCTTTACTTCTAATAAGTGTAGAATCATCCACAATGACACTGGGAACATTATTTTGGAAGGAACTCGTAAAGGGAACACATATATTGTGGATCTAAATGAGGTTCCTAACAGAAGTTTAACATGTCTTAGTGTTATTGAGGATGATCCTCTTTTATGGCACAGAAGGTTTGGCCATGCAAGCTTTTCTTTACTTGATAAAATAAGATCTAAGAACTTACTGGAAGGACTTCCTTGCATTAAGTTCCTGTATGACAAAGTGTGTGAAGCTTGTGCTAGAGGAAAACAGACTCGAATTTCCTTCAAGTCCAAAAAGATGGTAAGTACCAAAAGACCTTTGGAACTCATTCATATGGATCTCTGTGGTCCAATGAGAATCCAAAGTAGAAGTGGTAAGAAATATGTAATGGTTATTGTTGATGATTTTTCAAGGTTCACTTGGGTTTTCTTTCTTGTAAGTAAGGATGAAACGTTTGATGAGTTTGTTGCTTTTGTAAAGAAAGAATAGAGAAGAACAGGAAATCAATTGATACATCTTAGATCAGATCATGGAACAGAATTCGAGAATTCAAAATTTGATGAATTCTGTACTGAGTATGGTATAGATCACAACTTCTCTGCCCCAAGAACTCCACAACAAAATGGAGTGGTGGAACGCAAGAATAGGAGCCTTGAAGACATGGCAAGGACAATGCTGATATCAAGCAGGTTGCCTAGGAACTTCTGGGCTGAAGCAGTTAACACAACATGTTATATACTTAACAGAGTATCTGTTAGGGCCATCACCAATAAAACTCCCTATGAACTTATGAAAGGGAGAAAGCCTAATATTTCCTACTTTAGATCTTTTGGATGTAAATGCTTTGTTCACAATAATGGTAAGAGGAACTTGGGTAAATTTGATGAACGTAGTGATGAGGCAGTATTCCTAGGATATGCCTCGAATAGTAAAGCTTACAGAGTCTATAATAAAAGAACTATGTGTGTTGAGGAGTCTGTACATATTATATTTGATGAAACTGAACATTTGGTTGATGTACATGATTGTGATGATGATTTCGAAATTGGACTTGTGCGTAAGCAGAATTTAGATGAGGAACCAGCATCACAGCAGAAGCAGCAAGTTGAAATTGCTGAAGTAACAAATCCTGAAGCAAACGCTGAACCTGAGATGGAGAATGCACCAGGAACTCCACTTCAAGAACAGACTGATGTTCATAATGAAGACCAGAATGTGGAAACACCTGAAGAAGTTCAAACTGAGTTTCATGAACAAGTTCCTACAGAAGAACTAGTCAACAATGATGAAGAAAAATTGTATCCAATCAAGGATTTCACTCCAAGGCCCTGAAAATATCAGAAATCACATCCAGTTGATGTAATCATGAGTGATATCACAAAAGGAACTCATACCAGATCTTAGCTTAGGAACTTCTGTGCATTCAGTGCATTCCTCCATGGAACCTAAGAATTATGTTGAAGCTTTAACTGACGCGGACTGGATTAATCCTATGCAGGCTGAATTAAATGAATTTGAAAGAAATAAAGTTTGGCATCTGGAACCTAGACCAAAAGATAAGAAGTCTATTGGACTAAAATGGGTATTCAGAAACAAACTAGATGAACATGGTATTATTGTCAGGAACAAAGAAAGACTAGTTGTACAAGGTTTCAACCAACAGGAAGGAATAGACTATGAAGAGACATTTGCTCCAGTAGCCAGGTTAGAGGCTATTCGTTTACTTATTGCCTTTACTGCTTATATGGGATTTAGGCTGTACTAGATGGATGTTAAATGTGCTTTCTTAAATGGATATTTAAATGAGGAAATCTATGTGGAACAGCCTCCTGGGTTTTTAAAATCCAGAGTTCCCAAACCATATCTATAAGCTTGACAAAGCTCTTTATGGGCTAAAGCAAGCTCCTAGAGCATGGTATGAAAGATTATCTAAGTTCCTTTTGGCTAATGGTTTTAAACGTGGCAAAATTGATAAAACTTTGTTTTTAAAGTCAAATGGAACTGATATCTTAGTTGTACAAATTTATGTTGATGATATTTTATTTGGTGCAACTAACGAATCTTTATGCAAGTATTTTGTTGACCTTATGAGTGGAGAATTTGAAATGAGCATGACTGGAGAATTAAATTTCTTCCTTGGCTTTCAAATCAAGCAAACTGAAGAGGGAATCATGATTCATCAGCAAAAATATATTAAGGAACTGAATCAAGAAATACAAGTTGGAAAATGCCAAAACCAATAATACTCCTATGGGAATTGCTACTAGATTAGATGAAGATCCATCTGGAACTTGCATAGATCAATCTATGTATCGAGGTATGATAGGCTCACTACTCTACTTAATAGCTAGTAGACCTGACATATCTTTTAGTGTAGGTCTGTGTGCCAGGTTCCAAGCAAATCCAAAGGAGTCTCACCTAACAGCAGTAAAAAGAATTCTAAGATACTTGAAAGGAACTGATGATTTGAGTCTCTTCTATCCCAGAAGTGATTCTTTTGATTTGAATAGTTTTACTTATGCTGACTATGCAGGTGATCTGGTTAATAGAAAAAGCACTTCAGGTATGGTACAATTTTTAGGTCCCTGTTTAGTTTCTTGGGGTTCCAAGAAGCAAAACACAGTTGCTTTATCTACAGCAGAAGCTGAATATGTGGCAGCGATAGCATGTTGTTCACAAGTTCTATGGATTAAACAACAGGTCAGAGATTTTGGTATAATTTTTGAATGTGTACCTATTTACTGTGATAATACTAGTGCTATATGTATTTCTAAGGATCTAGTTCAACACTCAAAGGTAAAAAACATCCACATTAGGCATCACTTTCTAAAAGATAATGTGGAGCAAGGGAATATAAAGTTAGAATTTTGTCAAACTGAAAGTCAAATTGCAGATATTCTAACCAAGCCCTTGAACAGAGAAAGATTTGAGAAACTAAGACTGGAACTTGGGATGATCAAGCTAAAGTACTAGCCTCTGAAGTTCCAAGATATGGCAAAGTAAAAAATAATGTAAATAAAGCAAAAAGAGCTTCTACCACAACCTTGGTGTGATAAACATAGCTAAAGTGTCACCGTTGTTAACTACCAAAGGTAAGTTCATTAACTTGCTCAACGGTATAGGTTATTAAATTTGTACATTGCACATATGTAAAAAGCGTGTTCCAATTGTGTTTTATAGAAACTTCGTTTAAGATAAATTGAATTTGGAAAGTTAAGTTTTTGAAAGAATCATCCAGTAATTTGAAATTTGAAAAATTAATTGAATTTGTTTAATTAATGACTGAACAGTGAACTTCCTAAATTCCCTCATACCGCTTCATTCATTATAAAAGCTGATTTCACCCACTTCTTTCACCTCACTCTCAAATCAAATTAAACCCTTCCCAGTAAAAAATTTTCAACCTTGTATAAAAACCTTTCCTAAAGCATCAATGGTGATCATTGCTGAATTTATTTCCTCAGAAGAATCACAACACTCTGAAAACACAATTCAAGAAGAAACTTCTCCCTTAGCCATGGTAAACTACAAATCATCTTCTATCTCAAACAAAACTCCCGAAAACCCTAGGAAATCTCCTCCGAAACCAAAAGAAGTTGAGAGTAAAAGCGATCAAGGGGATTCCTCTGTTTCAAGCATTCTTCAACGACTAAAAGAGTGGAAAGAAAAGAAACAAAGTGAAAAGTCTCTTAAAGAGAAAATTGAGGAAGTTGACGAGTTTGCTCAAGGGAAAAACTCAGACGAGACAACAGGGGAGAACAAAGTAGAAGAAGAGATGAGTGAGGGAGAAGAAGAAGATAAAGAGGAGGAAACAATTCAGAAAAGGAAGAATCTGAAAAGGAAGATGAAGAAGAGGAAGTGACTGATCAAGCGGAACTTGAGTCACAGGCTGGAAGGTATGTAGTTGGTCATCGCATTGATGTTGTTTGGTGTAGAAAACCAATATTTCTAGAATTTCTTGATTTAATTAAGTTTCAAGGTTGGGAATTTCGGTTGTCAAGAGTGTCAGCAAACTATATGTACCCTGTAGCTATGACTGAATTTTGCCAAAATTTTCAAGCAAAATTAGGAGTAATTTCAAATGTAGTTAATGGGGTAAAAATCGAATTTAACATTGAAACCCTAAATAAAATTCTGAAAACTCCTACTGAGGGGTATGACACTTATATTAAGGGAAAGGGAAGTGTCAATGTAGGTAGCTACTTGACTGGTGATATTGTTGAGGCCTTAGGTGGTCAGAGAGGGAAGAAGGTCATGAGTCATAATGATCTTAGTCCCTTAAACAAGTTGTTGTTTAATTTGGTAAAGAAGACTATTCTGCCTAGGACTACTAAAAAGGGGGAAGCATTCTTGATGGATATGGCAGTAATTTTCTTTATTTCAAAGAAGATTAAGGTCAATTTTCCTTCTTTAATGTACCAGCACTTAGCACACTGTGTTCCCAGTAGGACAAAAGTGGGGTATGGAGCCATTTTGTCCACTGTATTTGAGAATGCTGGAGTAGTTCTGAAGGGTAAATATGGGGCTTTGGATGAAAAGCCAGAAAATGTGATTAATGAGGAAACCTTGGTTGGGTTAAGTTTGGAAGTGGTGCAAGGAAAAATTCAGAAAATAGAGAAGGAAGAGAAAAAGAAAGAGAAAGTGACAGGGAAGAGGAAAGAAAAGGCTGTATCTGAGCAGCCTGTGAGAAAGAGCAGGAGGATTTCTGCCAGTGTTGTTCCTCACACCAGTATGGAACAGCCACTGGAGTTGGATGCTGAGGAAGATATCCTCAATGGGAAAGTTGCTGAGTTAGTGGATAGAATGGAACGGGTTGAAAGTCAAATGAAGGATTCTGCTAGAAAACTTCAGGTGCTGACCCTGAAAAAGTTGGTACAGGAGCAAGGGAAGGAGTTAAAGGAACTCAGGAAGATGGTGCTAAAACAAAACAAGGAACTTCAAGAGCAAAAGGAGTTTCAAGAGCAAGAACTCAACAAGGCTCTACAGGAACAGAAGGAGGAGTTCCTGATGAAACTCAAGGGTATTGAAGAAAAGTTGGAGGCCTCTGCACAACAAACAAAGGAGGAACTTCAAGAAAATTCCGGAGTTCCTTGAAACCTAGCCTGCCCTATTTCATATTCAGCCTAGCCTATTTTCTCTGTTTCAGTCATGAACAATTTTAATTTCTGTTTTTAGTATTTGAACAATTAATTTGTTTGTAAATTCTCTAAATTGTCCAACTGGATGAAAAATCTTTTTGGTCTTTAATGAAATGTTGGAACTCTGCTTATACTTGTGTGTTTATGTGTATTTTGAACACTTATGCCGAAGGGTAGAACTTACTTGAGGTTGTTTAGCAGCGCTGCCTTTAGTTTCCCACACTCGATGAATTGCTTGTGGGGCTGTGGGTAGATGCTTAATACACTTGAAAAAGCAGGACTTTTTGATAATGCCAAAAGGGGGAAAAGAAGAAGCAAACATGAAGGCTGAAGTTGTTCTGGGTTCCAGTTGATAAAGTATCAGAACTTTCTTCTGATATGATGCTGATAGGTTATTAGTTTAATTTCTGTCTTAGTTATTTTTGTCTATTTGTTTTTAGTTTCTGTTTTTTAATTCAGTTGTGTGTTTACTTTTTGTTCATAAATCAAAAATACAAAAATACGTCCTTCTATTTTGTTTTAACTTTCTCTAGAGTTTGCTTAAGTTTGTCATCATCAAAAAGGGGGAAATTGTTGATGTTTAAAGGTTTTGATGATGAGGAACTTAAACTACAACAAACTCATTTAATAAAGTTTTTTCAAGTGTTTGTTTAGTTTAGGTTAATTTGATCTTGGAGTTGAAAGAAGTAACTGAAACTAAGAAGACTTGAAGAAGTTCTTTATTCAAGAAGGTTATTCGAAACAGAAGAAGTGTTCCCTCACAGGAACTGAGTTCCCTAACAGGAATGTTCCTTTACAGGAACTTGAAGAGGCTTAAAGATGGCTGGCTAAGATCTTTGGAGGAACTTAGTAAGCGTGGAGCCCAAGTAAACCTACCAGTACAGGAGTGCGGCGCAGCAATGATTTAGTTAAAGATTTTATCTTCTAGATTCATTGTTAAATATGTTAAGTAGGATATGCATGAAGTCTATTAGAAGCGTGACAAGTTAGCTTGGCAAATAAATTAAAATCGGAAAAGATAAAAGATAGAATTCGAAAAAGATTTTCTTTAAATGTTTATTTCTTAAGATCAGTTTGTTGAAAAGATATTATGCTTTTTAACTAAATCTTTCTATTTTATTTTTCGGAAAAGATTTTCTTCTAAATGATTTACATAAAAACCGTGTATAAAGATAAGTTAAGTTTAACTTATTTATCTTTAAGAAAACCTACTTGCTATACAAATAATGCTTGTATAAATAGTAGAGAAAAAAAGGAGTTTAGGTTTTTTGTGAATTTTATGCGTGAAGAATTTACAGAGCTTTAATTGTGTAAGTTTTCCAAGCTTATCATCTTGTCATATTAGTTTCGGGTTTCATGCATAGCTTGCCGATCATATACTAGGTGTCTTTACTTGTAATTGGTTCGGGTTATTTGGGTGAGAGTATTTTTGTTATCATTGCATACAGAGAGAGAGCTTCTGTTGAGAAGTTGAGAAGATCTGTGCTTAGGGAGTACGAGAGAAAGTCTGAGTGTGGGACTTAGACTGGGTAGAATAGAATCCTATTTTGTAGCAAGTTCGTTCAGGAACTTGTGAGTAGAGGTTTGATTATAATAGGTTGTAACTTGGTGTTTGCCCTATTATAGTGAAATTGTTTGTGTTCGAAATCCCTAAGGTAGGGTCGAGGTTTTACTTCTAGTTGGGCACTAGAAGGTTTCCTCGTAAAATCCTGTGTGCATTGCAAGTTCCTATTTTATTCTGTTTTATATTTGAAAAAGTAGTCACTAGGAACTCACCTACAATTCACCCCCCCTCTTGTAGTGTTCGTCTCAACTCACAAAACACACAGAGGAACACATGGAAAATATAACATACACAATACCCATCTCACCAACATGAATGGGTAATTGACAATCTGAGCCCGTGACAGGAAATTCGTCACATGGGCAAATTGACACACCTACACATACACACTGCAGTTTAATTACTACATCAGGAAGGATTAATGAAATGACTAATCATTAGATCTAGAAGTAAGATGAACAGACTATATAAAAATCAAAGGCCATCACCTTGTGAATAAGCAAAATAAGCAAAATAATAAGTAACTGAGTTAGATTCCGGTTCTAAATAATCAGCTCATAAAATTCATTTTTACCTCTTCAATTGTTCGATTTTCAAACAGCAACCAAGTTTAAATTCAACATCCTTAATATTGGCAGGGTCGGACATCATACATACATCTTGTCCCTTGTACTACCTAAGGTTCTTAGTGGCCGAGACACGCCTGGGTGTAGGCTTCTTCATTTGCGAAAGCTTATACACGGTCAACACCTGATAATAACAAATTACAATAGGTAAGAACCATTAAACTAATAAATTAAATTTCAAATAATTTACAAAGTATTCAGCCAACCTCATTACACTACGCAGGCCCATCTGTGTCCCTTGCTAATCTAGGATGTCGTTCTCCATAGGCAACATCCAAGGTCTACAATAAGATAGATGAACGAACAAAATGTGAATAATAGGATCCAACAAGGACTACATAAAACAGTAAAAATCAATAGAACATCCATCTTCTCGTTTTAGAACTTTTTAGAACATACACCAAGTTGGCCAAAATCACCACCATCTGGTTTGCGATCATCCTTTATAGCCCTCCGAATCTGGTTCATGTTCCAGACTTCCAGCCTCGTAAAAACGCCCCATTCCACAGGTTTCCTATTAAGATGATCCAAATACATAACCTATATTGGTTTAAACAAAGAATTAACATCCAAATACAATGAAGATTACACAAGGAAAAATGAGGAAATGAGACAGACATACCACGACAAAAATAAGGCAACCACCACACCCACTAGCAAAACCACTCGAGTAATATCTACGTGAAAATGCAGCAACACTATCCATCAGCTTCTTCAACACAAGACAACACCAGTCATACTCCACAGCCCTAGGGGCACATGTCAATGAAGGAACAAGATCGGACGCTAGCCTAGAGGATTGTGTCGGGCATAACAACATCTCCAATGACAGTAGTAAGAACAACATCTTGAACTCATCTTCCTCATGTTCCTGCCAATGCCCCTCTACCCCATCCATTAATTGCCTATTAACATGTATTCCCTCTGTTTTGTAGTGTCTACTAGTCTTGGTTGATTTACTATTCCATGATTTGCCATACCTACCCATTATGTCTATAATCTTAAGCTTGCCCTCTTGTGACAATGATTTGTAAGTTGGAACAACAAATCCCCTGTTAGGAATACCTAGGACCCAGTGTACTTGGTTCTTTGAAATGTTGAACAATCTACCATCTACACCTCTTAAATTACTATTGAGAGTATCAATTCGAGTCATTAATCAGTAAGACAGCTGCCTTGGGAGATGCATGTCTCCTGCAAAGTGTAAAAGACCACCAAACCCCATTTCTCCAACCCATCGAATTCTCCAATCATCAAAATTTTGGCAAATTCTTCCAAAGGTCTCAATACGACAGCTAGTGTTAGGTGGCTGCAAATAAGAGGTTCAACATCACCTAATTACATCCACAAATCATTTGGCAAAATATTTAACCACACTGTCCCTTAACAAATTACTCACCCGACTACTAGCTCTATTCCTTGCCAATAACACCTACCCTCTTGCTTTAATTTGACTGCCAACAATTAATGAATCATCCTACAGCCATCAATAGCAAATTAAAGAAATATACAGGTAATAATCAACCTCCAATAAAACAACAATGTCAATTTATGCAATTTACCTTATAAATGTCCTCAGTTAGAACCTTCAAAGGAGTTGGTGTGTAATAATCAACCTCCAATAACACAATAACACAACAATGCCGATTATTAACGACTGAATTCAAGACCTAAAAAACAAGCTACAATAGTACATTATTGCAGACAAATACCTCTTGCAAATTGTCTTTCAAGATAGCACTCCTTTTACGTTTCAAACATCTCCTTCCACCCATACATTCTACCCTTCAAATGAGTATTTGCAGCAATAAAATAACCAATTACAAAGTACATCAACAAGATTATTCATTAACACTAAACAAAGACAACATTCTAAAACTAATCCCAGTATGCCAAACTCAACAAACCACGATAAATCGAATATTTCAAATAACTAATCAGCGAATATAGCAACAAATTAAATACAAAATTAAATAAACCATTTCAATTACCTTAATCTAGGGTTTTCGAATATCCCTCTAATTCCACGACTCCTCCACCGACTTCCAACAGCTGATGATCAGGTATGCAATCGGAAATTCGATGAAAACCCAACAGCAACACCAACAGCAAAACCAACAACAAACGATTAGTGCGGCCTGGACTGTATCCGGACAAAGATACAACAATTTTGCAATTAAACCAACACACCTACTACCCCAGTAACTTATCCGGACAACAATAACTGCTCTTTTGCAATTAAGCCATCAATAACTGCGCTTTTGCAATTACGCCATCCATAACTGCGATGCACCGCTTTACGGATTCGATTCCAACCTTGAGAGTCAGGAAGAGGTTACCAGTAAGGAAAGAGAAATAGGGTAAAGAGGTTACCAGTAAGGAGAGAGAAAGAGGGTTAAGTCGTTAACGTCAGTTCTACTTCAAAACGGACATACAAGAACGGGGAATAACTGGCAAAACGGTAGATACTTGATACTTGACATTTTTGCCCTTCATTAATCCATGTAAAATGACGTTAGTAACCTGATATTAACAACCCAAGTTGATATCAGTTATCAACTTGTATTTCCTCAATAAAAACTTTCCTTTTTAAAAAACTTTCCTTTTTCTTAAATCCTAATTCTATTTAAATTTAAAGTTGTTCAAAGACAGTCAGATTTTATTTTCGTGCCTCATAATCTTTATCCAAATTTTATATTTTTGGATAGATCTTGAAATTATCTTTCCAATGATATAATATAATATTAAATCCGAGCTATAACGAAAAAGATATGAATGAGATATGATGAAACTCTATCCAAAACTGACATTGTCCCACTATTTCGGCCATATCTTTTTATCTACAAAATATTTTAATCTGATTCTAATTGGATTGGAAATTAGACTTCAATATCTTTCCAACTACATATGATATGCCTTATTTGGAATTCCATATCAAAATATATGATAAAAACAAAATCCGCAAAAACTGCTGTCCATCGAGTTTTATTTCGATTCGAATTCGGATTCTCTTCTTATTCTTCGACCCTCTTTTTCCTCTATAAATAGAGGTCATATATCCCCTTTTTCAATCACCAATTCTCATCAAGAATCTCTTGATATTCTCTCTCTCTTTTCTAAACTAGATTTTTGCATACAAAATTCCGCATTCACAAGATCTAGACACACCTAGCATTGTTCAAAGTTGCCTTCGCCCTAGACGTGAAAGGTTTTAAATTCTGAGGGTTTGGTCCCAAATCTAATCTAAAATTTCCTTAATATATCTTTTAATTATTTAATTTAATTTTTTGATGTTATTATTTTCCTTGAAGTTACTAACGCGTGTATTTTGTTATTAGAAAGAGATATGAGGCATCCAAGTAAATTCATTAATTGTTTAATTGATATTTTGATATAGAAATCATGTTTAGGTTATTATTTTGATTCCTAGTATTATGTTTAGAAATATACTTATTATGATTCCTGCGATGCTTCCTATTTTCTTTCCTAATATTGATGATAAGATCATGTTAGGGCTAAATATTTGATTTTTATTGTTTAGTGACATGCTAGGGTTTGTTATTAATCTTGTTAGTATCATGCCTATGATCTTGCTATTATTATGCTTTAACATGATTATGATTATTTTTATGATTCGTGATTATTATTATTATTATTATTATTATTATTATTATTATTATTATAATTATTATTATTATTATTATTATTATTATTATTATTATTATTATCATTATTATTATTATTATTATTATTATTACTATTATTATTGTTATTGTTATTATTATGTTGCTTGATATTTGTTGTTATTGCTTGATCAAGCCTTTTATGCATGTTTAAAGGGAATTGGTACTTGTAATCTCGCTTAATAAGATAATTAATAATCTTGTTTAGGGTTAATTTGATTATAATTCAAGTGATTTCCAATAATAATTTTGTTTGTGCATTAATATTCAACCAACATAGATAAACAGGTTTAGGGTAAATCTATTGATTGCATGTTAGTCAGAAAGCGCACATAAATACGATTATAATAAAGTAGAGGCCTATTATTATGGTAGGTTCAATCTCTTTTAGGTTGGATTTGTACCTTCATCCCCGAACTACTAGTCATGGTTCCAGACCTATTGAAGTTGACGATCTCTTTGATCGTTAAGGAGTGTAACCTTCACCTCGTGAACGGTTTACAAGTTCCTAAAACTTGTTGGCGACTCTTTTGCTCTATCTTCTTTCCCTTTGGATGCCACCATACTTAAGTGTATGATCACAGTGGGGTTCAAGCTAGGGATGACGCTTGAAATATTCCCTACACGTATAAAAATTATAAATCTACTAATTTCAGCTGAATTGCTTGACTCAAATTATTGGCCCGAAATGACACGACCCAAAGTCAACCCGACCCGAACTTGACCCGACCCGATCTTGTCCCCACCCAAACTGGACCTGATATATGGACTCAAAAACTGACCCGACTCAAAATGACCCGACCAGAACTTGACCCAACCCGACCCTAACTCGACCCGACCCAAAGTTGACTCGAAGTATTGACCCAAAACCCGACCCGACCCGATAATTCATTAACCCAAACTTAACCCTAAATGACCCGACCCGAACATTTGCTGACCCGAATTTGACCCGACCCAAAATGACCCGACCCATACCCGACTCGAATGACCCGTTTGACAGGTCTACTCCAACTACATCATCCCCAAACCCTTGGCTTAGTAACTACTCAATATCCATGGCAATCATCAATTCAATCATGATATTAACAAGCAAAAGCATGATTAATGAGTAATTAACAAAACAAGAGCAATTTAACACAAAATCAAATAGCAAAGTAAAGAGAAAAGAGTAAGGAAATGCTCATTCATTGAAGTTGGAGTTCTACAAAGAGGTTGATTAAGCTTCTTCTTCAAATTCCAAGCTCAACAATGGAGTAATCCACACTTTCTTTCTCTAAAATGCCAAAACTAATGGTATTTCTCTCTCTAGATTAAGCCAAAAAATCATAAAATTAAGCTAATCTAATTATATCCAAAGGAGAGTATAGACTATATATATATGTGGTTCTAAAAAGAAAGAAAACTTGAGCAACAAGGCAGAGAAAAATCTGAAACCCATCAGTGTGCGCCAGCGCAGGTGTAATTCGCGACCTCTCAGGATGATGCGCACCCGTAACTTTGTGGGTACGGAGAAGAGAAACCCTTGAATGCGCGCTCGCACAAACAAGTTTGTGCCCCAGCACATCAGGTTGTGCGCCCACGCGGTGGTCGCATAGCAGGAGCACAAAACTCTCTGGTTTGGTTCTGTTTCTATTTCTTGAGCTTGGTTGTGCGGGTTCTGTCAGGGCTGCGCGCCCGCGCGGTGGCCACGCAGTGGCCGCACAGAATAGCTTGCTTAGCTCCTTGAACTCCTCCTTATGCGCGTCTTCTCGCAATTCGGCGCGCGCGCATTTACAGTCCTCTCCAGCTCGCGAGCAGCATTAACTACTTGGCCCAAGGCTTCCTTCTTTCAACACCATGGTTACTACAAAACACAAGCAAAAAAAGCCAAACTAGAAAATACATAACAGAGGTAAAAATAGAAAATAAGACGGACAAAAGAAAGGAGAACTAAAGGTAAGAAAAAGGGGGACAAACAAGCTACAAGTATGGGGAAAACTCATTATAATGAACTCTTAATCGTGGCATAAATGACATTCATCAAAACCATTCACGGCTCATAAAAGGCAACCACGATAAAAGGACAATGAAAGGCAACAACGATTGACCCGTGAAGGTTAACCCCCATTCATAATCTATGAGATTACTAACTGTAGACACCCATTTGTGTCTCTCCAAAACCAAACTCGGTTATGATTACCTTTCACGTCGAATCATAATCGAATGAATGTGAAAGTGTGGAAAGTCTAGTGTTGCAGAAAGTTTTATTTTCTTTTCTCTTCTCTCTGTTTTTGAAAACTTATTTTAAGAAAACAGCCAATCCAGTTTGGTTGGTCCACGATATGGGTCCAATAGTAGTGTAGTTGGATGGGGCTTGACAAGAGATTTCCAACGATATATTATAAGCCCAATTCCGATGAGTATTGAGGAAGTTATGGCCAATTTACTAAACTGGGCCCGGTTTGAGCTTTATATACGGCCCAATGATCTAGGGGAAGGCCTAATATGATTTATCATTCATAATGCAATTAGGAATGGTTTTAGTTTTCTAGAATCTTCTAGAAGGTTCTTTTCATTCCTAATTCAATTAGCATTGATAAATTGACTTTTGTTGACTTTTCAAAGTTTAAATCAAAATCAAATAGCATTTTATGATTTTATCCTCTAGTACGGCAAACTTATCTGATTTTCGAAAACGCGTTAAAATTAGGCTAGGCGTCTGACCCCAGGCTTTGGCGCCTGGAACCAGGCTTGGTGCCTGACGCTAGTGTTGGTGCTTGGCGCCAGTAGCCAGGGTTGGCGCCAGCTCTGTTTTTTGTGCGTCAAACTCTGTTTTGTTTATTTTATCTTTTTGGCTGATTTTCTCTATAAATAACGTATTAAAAACTCCGTTTTCAGGAACCAATTCTCACCTACAATCAGCTTTCATTCGCAATCATTAATTATCTAATTCTCTCTTAATCATTCACCAACTCTCATCAAGATTTTCTTGATTATTCTCTCTCTCTCTTTTCTAAACTAGCCTTTTCTCAAATACAAAATTCCGCATTCGCAAGATCTAGAAACACCTAGCCATATTCGAAGTTGCCTTCGCCCTAGACGTGAAAGGTTTAATTTCTAAGGGTTTGGTCTCAAATCTCTCTTTCAATTATTTGATTTAATTATTTTGATTATTATTTTCCTTGAAGTTACTAATGTGTGTATTTTGTTATTAGAAAGAGGTACGAGGCATCAAAGTAAGTGCTTTAATTGTTTTATTGATGTTATGATCTAGAAATCATGTTTACATTGTTATTATGATATTCCTAGTATCATGTCTAGGGTAGTTTTAATATTAAATATGATTCATGCGATGCTTCCTATATTCTTCCTAATATTTATGATTATTTTATTTATGAATATTATTATTGTTATGATTATTATAATTATTATTCATGATATTGATTATTTATCATGTTGCTTGATATATTTTATTTTTATTGCTTGATCACACCTTTTATGCATGTTTAAAGGGAATTTGTACTTGCAATCACGCTTATATAAGATAATTAATAATATTATTTAGGGTTAATGTGATTATAATTCAAGTGATCGCCAATAATAGATTTTTATGTGCATTAATATTCAACCAACATAGATAAACAGGTTTAGGGTTAATCCTATTGATTGCATGTTAATTAAAAAGCGCACATGAATACAATCAGAATAAAGTAGAGGCTTATTATTAGGGAAGGTTCAATCTCTTTTAGGTTGGATTTGTACCTTCATCC